TGTTTCTTTGGAGTTAAAATGGCTATGATAGCCTCATCAAAAACAGTCTTCAATCCCTTCTGGGTTAAAGCTGAACATTCCACATAGCAGCATGCTCCTATCTCTTTTGCTAGTTTCTGTCCTTGTTCCACACATATAGGTTTTTCTTTCATATCATTCAGTCTCGCTAAAGTTTTGGGGTCATCCCGGAGATCAATCTGAGTTCCTATTAATAAAAAGGGCACATTTGGGGCATATTCCTTAAGTTCCAGTACCCACTCTTCTTTCACATTTTGAAATGAGGCTGGATTGACCACGGAGAAGCATATGAGGAAGACATCAGTCATTGGATAGGATAAAGGCCTCAGACGATCATAGTCTTCCAATGAGGGACCAGACACAGGCTGCTGCGAGGGGGAGACCTAGTCACCTGCACCTGTCCCGCCGTGTCACAGAGTCCCAGGAGGTACTGCTTGCCCCCCACAGTGACGCTGACGGCGTAGTGGTCGAAGACGGTGGGCACGTACTCCTGGGGGAAGGCGTCGTTGGGGTAGCTCATGAGCAGGCACGTCTTGCCCACCGCCCCGTCGCCCACCAACACGCACTTGAGCATCAGCGCGCCTGGCCCGTGAGCCATGCTGCGGCCGGCCGGCCTCCGGGCATGGTCCCCGCGCGCCCCCGCGCCGGCCGGGCTCAGCCCCAGCCCGCCTGGGGGGGCCGCCGCCGCTGTCCCCCCGGCCCCATGCAGCGGCGCCCCCCGCCGGAGGGGAGGGCAGGGGGCGACGGGCTCGGAGCGCAGCCGCCGCCCCCTCCGCTTCGGTCGCTGCCGCCCGGGTCCCCTCGCCGGTCCCGGTCCCAGCGCCCGCGCCCTCTCCGCGGCCCGGCCTCCCCGGGAGGCTCAGCCGGATCATGAGACCGGTCGGCCCGGGGGAGACGGCAACTTTTCGAGGATGTCATTTTGATAAAGTCTGTGACTCACATGAAGTGCTAGCAGTGTTCAGTACCTGAGGGACTTGAACTGTCCTGGCTTGTTAAATTCCCAAGGCCACGTTTGCCTGCTGACCCAGGGAGCCCCCTGTGCATGACAGCTGGTGCTGGAGTTGCAGGACACTGACCAGGAAGGCGCAATGCTGACTAAGCTGGTTCTCACCTGGACTCCTCGACGTGCTCAGAGGCCTGTCTGAGTTACCCAACTTCTCTAAGTGAGTTCTCTGTAGACAAAGCTGAGGTAACAGCAGGTGCTGTGCAGCCACTCCATGAGGGTTAAAATGAGCTGCATGTGGCACAGCAGGTGCTGCATCTGGTAAAACAGGGGCTTTGTACAGGGACTGTTGTTCTCTGATTCTTTCAGATGTGAAGAACTCATCCTGGACCCTCAGGACCTTGTTTCCAAATCATCAGAACAGGACATGAAACACTAACAGTTTCAGACATGCAATTGTGACAGTCCCAATCAGCTGAGACAGGCAAGGATATGATTAAATCAGAAGTGTGAACGCTGGCCCGCACTCTCTGTGGAACTGACACTGTCCCCCTCCTCTCAAAGGCCACTCTGCACACGTCCAGCTCCAGCCTCTAGATGGGGATAAAGCCACCCGATGCACTTCTTTACAGCTTGCCTTTCAGTGCAACATTGTTTTACTGTAACAACCTCCAGGGAGAAGGAAAACATCAATAGCAGAAGCCCTTGAGGGGTAACACAACATATATCATGAGTCAGGCTTGGAAATGACAGACCAATGTTCAGACCAAACCCTCACTCCTCCACTAAATTGCTGGGTAGAGCCCGCTGCAGACAGGCAGGTCTGTGGATGCCATACCAAGGTCGCAAGTCGTGCAGAACATTCTGAATCAGCCCGTGCTCCAGCAGCAATAAACTGGACACACACACACACACACACACACA